TCCTTCTTTCAACATTCCGTACACTTCTAGACCCTCCTTATCCTTGGTTTCTTTCCTTAGATTCTGTTATTCTCTCTCGGCACAAGCAACAGATATCTTCTCCTTGAACACCTGAAGACCCTCCGTTTCCAGCGTTCTATCTTCGTCGATGTCCAACCCCTTCCATACGTCCTCTACAACCTTGACCCATTCCGTGGGTTGTCTGCCCCTCTTTTTGTTTGCCCACTTCGCCTCCCATACTATTCTCGGCAACATCTCCTCTCCCATCCCGCGCATGCGATACTGCCATGTCAGCTTCCTTGCGTCTCTTCCCGACCGTAGGGATTGGATCCCCAATTATCAATTACTTGTGCGCTTGGAGCATCCTAGGATGATTTTCGCTGCTTTCATCTGCGCCGTCTCCAGTTCTTTCACTACCTTCTTATTTCCCTCCCATACTTCTCCGGCGTACTCTAGCGGCGGTACGATTACGCTCTTCAAAACCGCCAATTTGCTGCGTGTATCGAGGTGCCGGTTTGCGAGTATTGGGTGCAGCTTCCCTGCTCGTGCTTTGCCCTTTTCCGCTACCTTGGGCATGTGTGCATTTTACGAGCAGTCGTTTGCGATCTCTACTCCGAGGTATGTGTACTGGTCCACTACTGCAATCTCCTCGATCCCCCACTTCCATCTATATTCTACTGGTTCCTCCCTGTCCTCGTTGCATACCATGACGGCACTCTTCTTGACGTTGGCAGCCAATCTCCACTTATCAGTAAACTTCTTCGCCGCGTCAATTTGCAGTTGCAGTCCCTCAGGGGTGTCCGACATACCAACAAAATCATCCGCAAACAGCATTCCTGACACCGAAGTTTCCGTGTCCCCTACTCTTTACTCCCTTCCGGACTGCCTCTACGACTTCCAACAGATCGTTGATGAACACCTGGAACAACGTCGGGGACAGCGTGCAACCTTGTTGGACCCCCTGCTCAATGTCGAAGAATGTAGACAGTTCTCCGTCTAGCATGACCGCGCTTTTCGTACACTCTGTCATCTTCTTCAGCACTCTCCACCTTTTCCCCTTGATCCCGTACTTGGACAACTGTTTCCACAGCCCATTTCTCCGTACGGTATCGTATGCCTTTTTCACGTCCAGGAAGAAGCAGCATGTCGGCTTTCCCGCCCTCTTTCTACCTTGGATGATTCTCCCTACCGTGAATGCGTGGTCTACGCACCCCCTCTTTCTGTCGGAAACCTGCCTGGTCCTCACTAATGCTACGTTCCTTCTCCAATGCTCTCCCCATCCTATCGTTCAGCAGCTTACAGAACACTTGTTCCTACTGTGTTCAACAGTGTGATACCCCCTGTATTTTCCTGGGTCAGTCTTGTCTCCTTTCTTAAACAAGTTCACAACCACTTCTTCCCTCCGTCTACTTGGCGCATACTCTTTTTTCCACACCCAGTTGTACAGCAGTACCATCAGCTGGATCATCCCCTTCCCCCCAAACTTCATGAACTCGTTGACTATCCCATCCGCCGCTGCTGCTTTGTGGCACTGCAGCTTGTTCACACACGCCTCAACCTCGTCCTCAGTGATCTCCTTTTCTAGTTCTACGTTCCCAACGTCTGGAGATAGTGTATGGTGCTCAACTAGGATTTAGTGTTGGTATAGTATAACGTATATATTGTTTATTGTATAGGAATTAGTTTAGGTATTTGTAAACTTGTACACCCCTTGCGGGATTTAGACTGCGTGGTTAGTAAAACGTATGGCATATGATAATCTATGATGTAGGATTCGTTTTGGCACACATACCTAATCCCATACACACGTCGTAGTGTATGGTTTTTATACTCAAGCCTATACAATGAGAAACATATAGACGTTACTATTCCCTGTACTAATACTCTGGCCTATACAATAAACGCCTTGACCAAACTGGATTAAGCGCCCGAAAAAATCGGGTGGTGGGTAGCCGTGCTTCCAAAATTTGAATCGGCGAGCCCTCTCGTGGGACATAAAATGCTAATGTTTATCCGGCTCTTCACTTCCCTGGCTCAGAAATGCCAGCAAAGGATTACCACGTATGGGTGGATGAAAACTATTCGACGCACCCATGGGACGCAAATAAGCCATGCACCCACACCTTTCTATTACCGACGGAACCACCCAACCAAGAGCGACCTAGGCCTACACAACCTATGTAGCACCTTCCCACGTCAACACCAACCTAGCACCTATGCACGCAATAACCTAGAGATTTTCCCATCAATACCAACCTAGCGCCAATGCAGGCACACCAACCTAGCACTGAGCCACCCAGCGCCAACGTAGCCCCAATGCCGGCACACCAACCTAGAACGGAGCCACCCACCGCCAACGTAGCCCCAATGCAGGCACACCAACCTAGAACCGAGCCACCCAGCGCCAACGTAGCCCCAATGCAGGCACACCAACCTAGAACCGAGCCACCCAGCGCCAACCTTGCCCCAATGCAGGCACACCAACCTAGAACTGAACAACCCAGCGCCAACCTAGCACCCATTGGGGTGATTTGGGGTTATGGTTAGCGTTAGGGATTTTAGCCGGTTTCATGTAGTTGCTAGTTGGAGGGGCAGAACACTGCGCCTGCCTGTAGTAGAGCGACAGGTGGAAGAAACGCATACATTTTTGTGACGCTCGTTCCTCACAAAGGATTTCCGTCTGTAAAAAAGGAGTGGGTGCATATTTTTTTTTGGATGGATGAACCAGTAACCGACCCCCCCCCCCAGAAGAGTAGGATTTTCATATACGGCTCGAGATTCCAAACTCCGAGCTGCAACAAAAGGTTGTACGGATCTGGCCGCCGCCGATTCATACGTACGCAATGGTGACCGGTCGCCCCGGTGGTCTAGTTGGTATCCTCGAAACCTTCTAGAGGTCAGGTCAGGGGTTCGAATCCCGGCGTAAGCGAGCTTTTCTTGCAAAGTGAGTTTTTCTCTCGCTTCCGCTCCTGGCCTAGTGGATAGCGCTAGTTCGTGTGTACACAGAGGGAAGAGAGGGGCTCTTCTGTGTGACCACGGGTTGAAGTAAACGGCACTAGTGCTGTGAGCGCTGATTATAAGTGAAGACAAAAAAAAAAAAAAAATGTAGGACGGACGGAGGAACTACGAGTGACGAGAGACAAATGGGGGTTGTCACCTCGGGTGCTACAGGCGATCACGTCACAGAGAGGTATACATGCATTATAGGGGAACGAATCCACCGCCGTAAACAGTAGGCCAACGCCTCGAGGCGTTACATACAAGGCCTGCCTTTACCGCGTGATGAAAGGATACGGGCGGGCGTGTCGTTCACTTGGAGCATATTCATCATTGCGAGTCGCGGACGTCACCCGACACGTGCTTCGGACAACATTCTTTTCAGATCTACCGACAGCTGTACGCATAGCCTCGTACATTCTGTGGAACTTCGCATTTCTAGAACACGCGTTCGACGAGGGCGACACGCTGGCGAACCTACAGCAGTAGTGCGCAACATCCGTTGGTATATGCATGCAGCAGCAGTGGGTTTTCCATTTTCTTCGTGATACGCCAAAGCGCCACGAAATTCATTCACCGCAAGAGCGGGTGACCAATCTTCTTGTGTTGCAGCAATTCATAAGGCTTGAAGGAAAAATAAATACACGCACAGAAAGACTACCCATTCGAGATATACCCACAGTCGAACGGGATGTGGTGGAGTCTTTTCAGTGAGTGGAGGAAAACCGGCTGGGTACTGGACTTATTTCGAGTCTTTTTAAGCCTATACACTGATGATTTATATCAGTAAATGCCAGCTGGTGCTGAGTAGAAAAACATCTGTAGAGGTAACTGACATTTTACCATACATCCCCTGTAGTTCTCTACTGGGTCAACGACAAAATATCGGGGAGAATCCCTCCGTTGTGTCGTGTATTGTAAAATGTAACCTTCGCAGGGGACACGGCGCAGTGTCTATTGACAGCTTGCTGGTTTGTTAGATTTTAGGAATAATATTGTAAAAATCATGCAAGATGGAACGAAGGCTACAGCAGTACATAACTCGTTTTTCAAATCTACAGATTTTTTAATTTCACGGGCAGCAGTTGTTTCCCGCCGTTTTTTGAATTTACAAAACGTATTTGATCCTTTAGGGTAACGTTTCATCAGTGATGCTTACAGTAGATAAGAATTACACCTGGTGCACGGTAGGTAGGGCATAGCATTCAGTTTGTATCATGTTAGCTTGTTTCTTGTTTGTTTGGTGTTGGTAAACAACATCAGTAGATCACGGAAAGTTTTCAAATGATATACATCTAAATGTGGCGGTTGTTGTCAACATCCCTGGTGTTCCTCAGAGCGGTTTGCCGAGATATCTTGTCGCGACCGTGTCGTAATCACGTTGTAGAGCATCCGTCATGAAAAGCTATGCACTCCAACCATTCGGGCTATTGGCAGCAGTAGGGCATTGACCCGCGTGAAGGTTTTTACAGAGCTCGACAGCACCCGCGAGAAAAGCAGCACGCTGGCAGAACTATTTCGAGACTAAAGTTACTCAAGCCTCTGGATGGTTGCAGCATGTGGCGCCTTGTGATCACCCCCTGCTGTTGCGGATGGTGTACTATAAGCAAATCTAGTATGTATTATGCAATAGCAGCAGCAGGCGCAAGTGGTGGGTGGTACATAGACAATGAACTATTGTAAGACTGCGTGCAACAAGGATCTCCGCCCGCAATTTCGAAGGGCTTCAGAACAAGTATTTACGAAAAGTTCCTCTCTGTGCAGGAAAATATAATTCTTGCCTGCTGTCAAGGGAAATGATTGGCCTATCGATGTGTATTGTAAATAAAAGGGCAAAAATCCAAACTTCGCGAACCTGAAAGCTTGAAGCGGTTATGTACATGAATACTGCTGTACTGCTGTAAGGAGGCTGGGGCGTAAACGACGGCAACTATGTAGTGAAGTCTACATCTTCCAGTCTTGCATATGTGCATATATACCTGCATGCGTAGATTTCGCTTCCCCTTCGTGGAAGAGGAATGATTATTTGGTCTGCTTCGTTCGGATCGCCGTGCTACACAGGTCGATGCAACACAGCAGCAGCGGCGCGTTTCTTGATGAAAAACCATGGGTTTTTGAGGATCCTGCTGACAGCTAGTACTGCTGTATCTGCTCCAGGTCTTCGAGCGCGCTGTCTTTCAAGTTCTGTCGATGTGGGAACGTGCCGGCAATGTGCTATGGAAACAACGGCAGTTACCCGCCACCCACAATCAATGATGAACGGCCACAGAGCAGTTGTTGCAAAAAGCAGTGGCACACAGGGATCGCTCACTTATAAAACATCCTGTGTGCATGCATGCACTTCGAGCAAAAACCAAGGGTTCGGAGTGATTTCGTAGTTTCCTACAAGAATGCTAAATAAATAGTACCGGAGAGTTCGGGCTGTGCCGGATGTCGGATTTTAGTGGCTTAACTCAACCCCGGTAAATAGTCAGTGTGCACAACCTTTTTTAAGTGCGACAGGATTTGCTCTAGACAAGGAATATCCTTCCGCTGCCCCGGCGGCGAGCATTACCACACGCTCACACAGCAGTGTTGCTCCAAACTTGAACTCGAACGACCAACAGGTTTGCGGGCGGGGGGGGGAGACGGTGATGGAGAGAGACAGAAAAAAACTGATCCAAAAAAGCCAAGAGAGGATCAACATTGTAGAGTATCTGTCCGGTGTTCGGTGGTGCTTGCGATCTCTCACCGCGTAGCATGGAGGGCTTGGAGGGAAGAACGTCAGCGCCGCAGCCACCGTCGCCGTCGAGCACCCCCCTCGACACCAAAGGCAAAGCAGCACGCTGGGTACCCCTCCCATGGCTCGCCAACAAAAAACCTCCGCAACACTCTCGGCGCACGACCTCTTCCCGAATTGCCCGCTGGTGATCGGGTTGGCTCCCTGGATCGGCAGCTTGTTGTAGCACCCTATCCCACGAGACCGCAAGCACGGCAAATCTAACGGCTTCCTTCTGTCTCCATGAAACCCTCACCCTAGCCCTGACCTGATTGCTCCTTGTACGACCGGGACAAGGCAACGGGAACAGATCAGAGATGTGGCAGGACTCTTCAGTCTGCGCCACTGTTCGTGGGAGGCACCGTGAATGCTTTTGGAAGAACACATACCTACGTAATCACAACCGATGTGCCCCTCTCAAGGCTTGGCCGGCCGTGTCTGGCAGCCGACCCCTGGCTGGCTTTGCATCGCGCCAGCAGCCATCTACACCTAGCTGGGGAGTTTGCTTGTGTGAGAGCATCTACCACCCGAGTTGTGTGATTCGAGGCGGTCTGTTCTCTCCCGCTCCGTGGAGCTACAGCGGCGGAACGGGAAGAGCAGCAGTCATGGTAGATGACCGAGGTTCTCGCGTGTCCAGCAAGGGCCGCAAGCGTTCCCGGGTTGCTCTCGATGGTGGTGGTGGTGGCGGCGGTGCCGTGGATTCAACATACCACCAACACGAGGAGGACCATGGCTATGAGGTGGGCTCAGCGAGTGCATTAGAGAGAGAGGGGGGGGCGTCGAACCCACGCGGGCATTTCAAACCCCATTTTGAGGTGTGCGGAGCATTGTCCGTGGCTGTGACAGCATGTGCCAGACAGAGCAGCAGGTGTGCTGGCTGGTGCTCAGCGAGGAGAGATCGATCTATCATGTGTCATCGTCGTTCGTTTGCCCAAGTCAAGTAATTGTCTCGAGCCTGCCGTGTGTGAAGGCACCACGTACGAAGCAGAGACAGACGAAAAAGTTACACCTCCAGACGGAAGATATCATACGCCTTGCAAAGCACCATCACCGACTGGCGCTTGATCACACACATGATATCATAGGGCTCAAACGCGCCCCCCCCCTGCACTCTACAGTATATGTATGCATAGTGAATACGTAAATACCAAGTCGTAGTGGGGTGACGTTTGATACCGAACCTACGGGAAACCACACTGCGCGACTGCAAGTAGTTTGCCTTTTTCAAAAGCTCCCAATTCCATCAACTGTAGTAACTTGTGAGAGATCCTTCTTGGTCGTCTGCTGCTGGGTATGTTCATGTTTAGCAGGTTCCATCATTTGTTTATGCCCGAAACACCACCATCTCGGACCCCGAATGCGATTGATGTGTTGGTCACAACTCAGCCGTAAAATATGTCCTTACTGCGGGAGAACGACCTGTTGTTGTTGACTTGACGGTCAGAGCGAGGGGGAGGAGGGCGAGGAAGAGGCGCGCATCCGAGCGCTGGTGTTCGGCAAGGGAGAGAGCGGCCTGCTCAGCTCGTTCGGCGAGGAATCCGGCGCGAAGGAGGCCACCGGGGCTAGAGAGGCCGAGTTCGTGGGCGGTTTTTATGAAGGTGATCGATCCGCACGCGCGAATTTTTTCCGGTGCACGTTTTCCTTTTCTTTTGCTTTTTTTTTTCTTCCCAGTATATGGTTACCTCGAATAGCGTGTAAAAGAGGCGGGCGGAGTGTCGTAGACTATCTGTCGCTGGTATCTATTAACTTGCGGACGCTTCGGGTTCATTTTATATTCGTATACTTTTTTTGGGTAAGGTAGCCTGTGACCACGGGATTCGACCACGTTAAGTGCTAGACTAGTACTGGCAGAAGAAGGTACTGCGTGAAGAGAACGGAACGGTTCTTACTGTGAAGACAACAACAGCAACAACAACAACAATTGCTGTTATCGGCGGGCAACAGGAAGGAGTGTTTCGTCTCCTGTGTCGTGCCCGGTCGTTCCGAGCACAATTGTTGCCCACTCTCATGCATTTGGCCGGGGCCGCAAAGGCGATGCCACGTTGCTAATGCAGCTGCCGCAGTTGCAATGCAAGACGTGAGATCTATTCAGTGAACCATTGCCTGTGCGACTTGCAGTCGCTTTTCTCCTCTCGGGCGAAGGTTCGTAGGCACGCCCGTTCTTCTTCAGCGCAGCATGCAGGTCTCGGCAGGCCATGACCCCGAGCGATGTGTCTCCGTCTTCTTACCGCTGTCCCCTCCCACCGCCCGTTCCCTCTTCCCGCCGCCGCCCGCAGATTTAGAAGGCGATGCCGATGTAGATGGTGCTGGTGCGGACCGGGCGGCCATCGTTATAGGCGGCGGGAAAAAGAGCGGCGCACCGGCCTGGATCGACGAGGACGATGCCCGCTTGAAGGTATAGCGCCGGCGGGGCCTTCGGGAATGTATTTCAAGCGATCTTTCCAACAGTATGGGATTCATGGTAGAGTTGGTGGTATGATTGATTTCACTTCCCAGCGGACAGATAGCAGGCAGTAGGGACACTTGTAAGCACTTCTGAATTGCTGGACGTCGGCGAGAACCCAAAGACTTTCCGTATCTTCCGGGTGAGCCGGATGGATTGGTCCAACGGAAACGGTTGTCGATCAGCTGGCTGTCTTTATTCTTTTCAGTCAGCCTGGAGTGAGCATGGCTTGCTGCCCTGTGGGACTTCCAGTCAAGAACAACGGCAGTAGTATTTTAGGGAGTAGGGTCGACGTGTACGTACCTGGCAGTCAAGAACAGTCGGCTAGAGCAGGTTTCCACGTGTAGATACGTACCTGTTTGCCGTGCCGATTGATACGCACCAAACTAACTCCCTGGGTTGCACACCGTGTTTGCGGGTCGGTGGGCTCTCCGCCATCGCCGTCATCTGCTGCTGCTGCTGCTGCTCCTCCTGCTGCTGCCTTCAGGTGGACGTGACGGCTAAGAACCGCCTCAAGAAGCTGAGGAACAACCACCAGGAGGCGGACCTCGCAGGCCCCGAGTTTGAGCAGCGGCTACGCTCCAGGTACATACGCTGTTGTGGTCGTGAAAAAAATACTTGGTACCCCATGTTCTAGTCCATGGTGCACCCCCGCCTGGAAAGTTGTCGGTAACGATGCATGGTCAAAGGTCAAGGCAGTAATGGAATGAGTAGCCCCAACTCCCCCCCCACCTCCTGCTCGGGACGACTAGTGAGGACGGTTGGCGTTACGGCGGGGGCGGGGGTCTCACAACAGTTGTGGTTTTTTTCGAAAGTTCTCGTTTGAGAGTGTTACAGTAGCAGCGGCGTTGTTAAATGGTGCTGATCTTTCGTCGTAGACCACCTTCCCCCCTGTGTGGGTGGGCGGGGGCTTTCAAACTTTCTGACCCCGCTTTCTGAGCCAAGCAGCGCACCGGAAACTTGTATGTTTGATCCCCAACACATTTAGCACGACTTTCAATGTGAGTTTCGTTGTGGCGTTGTGGTACAATACTGCACGGGAGAGATGTACACAATTTACCGCGACCCGGCCTGCCGAACCTGTCCTCCAGGTTCTCGAGCTCCAACATGACGGCCGACTGGGTCAAGTCCGCCACGACGGCGGCGGCGGCCAAGAGCAAGAAGGTACGCACAACACTCCGCAAAATTGTCAGCTCGCTGTGGTCTGTGGTGGTGGTGGTGCAAGAGCGAGGACTTTTTCGTGCGGTGGTTGGTCGCGCGCGTGACCTGCAGCTCTCGCGTGTTTCTCGGGCCCGACGACGTTTCGGGAGACAAGACAGCTGTGTAGGAAGCTGGCGTGAAACCCTCCGGAGTTTCTACCAAAAAATGAAAACAAAAAGTGCTCTGTAAAAACCGCGTTGATGGATTAATATATATTTTTTATCTGCTCTTGTTGCAACCGCCGTGACGGTTCAATCGAAAAAGGGGTGGGATTTTGTGATGATAATTCAGTGCATTCTGTGTCGTCCCCGGGGTATTTTACTTGCGGGGTATCTGTTTTTGGCGGAGCAGGTTTCGACCAAGAGGAATGGTGCCCAGGGCAGGGATCATTCTTCGAGCGCTGAGGAAGAAGAAGAAGAAGACGACGACGATGAAAGCGACGCGTTTCTGAGAAACAGTGCGGCACTTAAGGGGGGAAGGGGCGGCGTGCTCGAG